ACATGAATTAAGCAGAGTTTCACAGAGGATTAAGTTAGCCCATTTAGTTGTGTTTTTTTCTAAGGTATCACTCTGAATACACACTTTAACTACTTGACTTTTTATATATGGTGAAATAAATCTGTTTCCCTTTACCTTTTAGATCAGTGTTTCTCCAAGTGGTCCACGAAACCACTTTGAGAAACCTGCTCACTGGCCGCACCAGTTTGTTTACTTACCAGTGTCACAGCTATGGAGTCTCGTAGCTCCCATTGGCTCTGATTTGCAATTTACAGTCGAAAGGAGGTGTGAGCTGAGCTTCCACTTCCTGTGTCTCCCCTTGGCTGCAAATGGCAAACTATGCCAGTTACCTATTGGCACCACAGTCGTGAGGCTCCATGGCAGTGGTGCCAATTAGTAAACCAGTGCGGCTGTCACAGAGTGTGGGGAACAACGGGGCTCTGCACCCCCATCCACAGTCAGATGTGATCCTCAGCCAATAAGTAGAACAGAAGGTTTATTTGTTGACAAGTATACAGCATAGCATAGTCTTGTTGTTAACACAGGAAGCAGAAGCAGTCATTACAATCCAACTTCTGGAGAGTGGGGCCAAGATCCAGTACCTGGGCCCCCTCCCGACATCATTAGCAAGCCGAAACTTACTCACACACTCCCCAACTGGTTCCAGTCCTGCAGGCAGCCCCGCCTCTTCCTTTGTCCCCTTCCTGGGCAAAAAGTTGTCACCTGATGTCACCTGGTTGCTCCCCCCCCACCTAGGTTCAGGTTACAAGGGAGCATGAACTATTGTTGTGTATGTGCTAAGATGGGGCACCTGGGGCAGCCTCCCCCTCAGTGAAAGCCACACTCAAGTCCCATCCCCAGCCGGGCACCGGTGCAGTGCCCAGGGAAACTGAACCATACACACAGGATTACTACAGAACAGTAAAGGATAGTAGGAACCACACAGCATAACAAAGCAAGCCAAGTAAATACAATCCCCACTTCGTCACAGTTCCCAATTAGCATGTTTCTCAAAATGGTTTCGTGGATCACTTTGAGAAACACTGTTCTAGATGGATGGTGTTGTGCATCTACTGGATGAATTCATCCGCTTCAAGTCTTCACACTGCTTACACTGCTTAGCCAGCTCTTTCATGACTCTCTACTGATTTGGGTAAGATCCCTTTCTATTTTATAGCACATAAGGGGAAAAAATGTCTTGGGAAACTTCATAAGGTCCCAAAATATGATCCTTTCAGAACCTGCACTTCAAGGCTACGTCTAGACTGCAAGCCTCTTTCAAAAGAGGCTTTTTCGAAAGATACTTTCGAAAAAGCTTCTTTCGAAAAAGAGCATCTAGACTGCAATCTCTTCTTTTGAAAAAGTGAGCCACTTTTTCGAAAGAGAGCACACAGGCAGTCTGGATGCTCTCTTTCGAAAAAGCCCTGTTTGCATTCAAGAACGCCTTTTTTGGAAGAGCGCTTTCGAAAAAAGGCATTCTTCCTCGTGAAATGAGTACCGCCAGAAAGACCGCGGCTGTAGTCTAGACACAGGCTACTTTTTAAAAAAAAAACCTGCAGTCTAGACACAGCCCAAGAGTGCAGCTACCCCAGGACCTCCATGGATCTTGGGGCATCTGCACAGCACAGACAGTCCATCCATACTATTCTCTGGAGCCTCCAGTGGTATTTGTTCCCTTACTACCTGTTTATCTTGCCCACCCCCACATATTTGGCTGGGAAGAAAATCCTGTCATTAAAGATATAGCGAACCCCAGTCAATTCAGTTGTTTTTGAGAAAGAGGATGACACAAAGCCACAAAACTCAGAGCCTCAACTGCACATTGTTTGCACCATGGAATTTTCATTGGCTCAAAGGAAGGCAGAAGGAAGGCAGTGATGGCACTGGGGCTTTGTCTCCATTTTACATATGTGTTTCCCAAAGGTGCAAAAGAAGCGGGGGGAAGGGGACCTAGACCTGCAGTCATGTTGAGTATTGGGTATCAATAGGGTAGGGTGGGGTTAGCACATTATACTCGACACTAGTGACTCCTTAAGGACTCAGGGTCACCTAGCAGCACTAACACCTGCTCACAGGTATGGTCCTCAGATCCTCCTGTTATCCTGTTACCACCCTTGTCATGGTTCAGGTTCATGAAAAGATGCTCAGATGAGCTTTTTGAAGAAAAAACACACACAACGTAGTCCTGTCATTATGTGTAGAGTATGAACTATGATCTGATTGTACTTTTCATATTTATTTATTGGGAACATTTTTATTGATGTTGCCTGTTATTGACCTTTGAAAGGGAGGTAGGAAAATAAAGTACAATCTTTTCAGAGCTCTGAAGTGTCTTTGATGTGTGAAAATGTGTATCTTACATTGTACGTCTTTCTGGTGTGTAGAACATACTTTGATATGGATACAGACCCACATCCCTACACAATCCTTTGGCCTGTGATGAGTCAGATTGAAATATGCTGGCATAAAGTATTGATGTGAAGTGTACTTTGTTGGTAAATTAGTCAGCATGTTATGTCTGTGCCAGTTTGGGATGTGTTTATGCATGTGCGGTGAGTGTGCTGTTTGGTATCATTGGTTATGTGTCTGTATGGGTTGTAAATATCATTACTTGTTTGTACCATTCAGTATCATGTAAGCACATAACATTGGGAGCATATGCTGTGTGTGTGTGACATAATGGTGTGTTGGGGTCTATGTTGAATACAGGTGCAGTAGCCTGTATCATGTATGCACATGTGTGTGTCTATTGATATTGAATGGTGAACTTTGAATTAGTTAGGTCTGTGTCATATATTTGTCGGTGGATGTATATAAGTATTGGTGTGGGGTGCTGGTGTTGTTCTTTTCTGAATGTGCTGATAAGTGTCACTTCATGAATATATAAAAAATAGAGGCAAGTAATAAATAAGAACTGAATACAAGATAAAGAGAACATTTTCAAGATGGCATATTCTATATCTCCCTAACTTTTAGTCTGTCCTTTGTCTGGTCAATGTCCATTTACAGTGGAAACTTTTGGGGGGGCAGCTATACTTCTACGAACAGTGTGGCACATTTCAGAATAGATGTAATGGCTAGAGGAAATGAGAGAGACATGTCCCATGAAACTTTTTATTCTCAGGTTGATTTCCCCCTCAGTGTGGTTGCAGAACTGAGGTATTATTACCACAGGTCCCACACAACCTTTATGTGGTTGCATCTCTACACTTTTGGTGTTTCAGATTCAGAATTAATTAGTTTTAGTGATGCTGCATATATTGTCTATATTAGTTGGTGTGAAGTTAAGCGTGTACAATGTGTGTCAACATCAACTTATATGTTAAGTGGTTTCATGTACACACGTATGAGCCAGTATGTCTATACATAGTAAGTTGGTTGCTGCTGAGTACTTGTAGGGTATGTTGTGTGAGGCTGTGTATTGCTCAGCATGTAAATTCACACTGTCAGTACTGTGTGTCACTCACAGTATGCCTATATTCCAGTCAAGGGTTGTAAAAGTCCATGTGGCAGTGCAGGTTAGCAGCCTGAATAATTACCCAGAATTCTGTGCAAGCTTGTCCAGCCCAGGCTGAAGCCTGAGCTGCAATGTCTTTACTGCTCTGATATTGAGTTAGCTAGATTAAAGGTAGTTCAGTTATGTCTACACAAGCTGCAATCACACCTTGTGATTATAGTGTGAACATACCCCCCCACATCAGCTGGAGTTGGTGTCCCTCAATCCATGGCATGTATTATATCTGTTACTTGAAGTCTGTGACTGGGTACGTCAGTTACTGTTGCATTTTGAGTTTCGTTGAAGGGCGTTGGTCACTCATTGTGGTATTGAGCATGAGATGGTGCATGTATGTGTGTATGTTGGTGACACACTGCTTGTATGTCAGTTTGGACATATTGTGTACAGTGTGAGCCAGAAGTGTGCGTGTGGGGGTATTAGGATTGGTGAGGGGTGGGAATTGAGGCTTTGTAAGGGACATTGAGAGGGGTTAGTGGGGACCTAGTTAATGTTGGGATAATGGCAGGGGAGAATCAAGTTGTGGCTGGGCTGGGGACAGGGAGGGACTTTTCCATCCCACCTCTCTCTCTGCTCCACTCGTCCCCATTCTCTTACCTGTGTTGCCCACACACACACACACACACACCAAGTTGAGGATCCTGTCAGGATAGGGGCAGCTTCCTGCACTGTGCTGCGGTGCTGTCAGGATGCAGGTTGTGTCAGCACAGGAGCTTGTCAGGATATAAGGCAGCTCCTCGCATGCCAGGGGACCTGACAGAACAGGGGACAAACCCCCCACATTGCTGACAGAACAAGAATGAGCTCCCTGCATTGTGCTGGGGGGGGGCTGGTGTCACGATGCAGGGGGCTGTCAAGACAGGGGGCAGCCCCCCACCATGCTGGGGGCTGGACGGAACAAAAGGCAGCTCCCTGCACTGTGCTGGGGGGCTATCGGGATGCAGGTGCCTGTCAGGACAGGGGTCAGCCCTGGCCCAGCCCGGGTCTTTTCAGAAGAGGGGCACCCCCCTGCCGTGCTGGGGGGCTCTTAGGACAGGGGGTCCCTCCCCCACGCCATGCCGGGGCG